TTTCTCTTTGGAATAATGAAAATGTCCTTTGGGTTAAAAATTGATTAAGTACAATCACAAAGTTGTGCAACCATCCCCACTGTTTCCAGCTAGACACAATGCCCTCAAGGTCCACCCATGTTGTAGCATGGTATTAGAATTTCAATCCTTTTTAAGGCTGGACAGTATTCCATTGCAGGTATATACGACATCTTGTTTATTCACTCATCCACCAGAGGACACTTGAGTTGCTTCTACCTTTTGGCTTCTATGAACAATGCTGCTGTGAACATGGGTGTAAAGTATGTCTGAGGCCCACCTTTCCATTCTTTAGGGTACAGACACTTTAGAAGTGGAATTTTGGGACCATATATATGATAATCTTATGTTTAACTTTTGGAGGAACTGCCAGACTATTTTCCACAGCAACAGTACCACTTTTACATTCTTAGTCCTCATTGTTTTTTAAACTACTGCTTTTCTTTTTAAAATAAAAATGCATTTAATTCCAAAATGACTATGAAGGTCTATCAATAAAGCACTGATTAAATAAGGTTATTTCTTTTTCTCTATTAAAAACAATAGTGTAACAAAAATTTCTGTACATTTTTGTACACTTGTGGGAATATCTCTGTAAAAAATCTGTAGGATAATTATTAGATGTGGAACTGCTTGATGACTTTAACATTTTAATAAATGCTGCCAAACTGACCTCCGACAAAACCTACAGATTTCTACTCCCACAAACTGTTTATGAGAGTGCCCATTTCATAAAATACTTGTCGTATCAATTTTTTAATCTTTGCCAATCTTAGAGGCAAAAATATTTTGTTTAAAATTTTAAAAAAGATTTAATTTGCACTTATTATATTATAAATTATCTCAATGGAAGGTTTGTAGTTTAGCAGTTAAAGTAATTGACAATTGCAGGTTAAAAACACTATTATCTTAATTGTGGTTCTGCTATAGTTACTAGCAAAGAAAATGAATTCTACCCATACATGGGAAGTTACTTCATTTGACTTTCATGTGAAAACCTCTTCACAATATAGTAATCTTCTTAGCTAACAAACTCCACTCATTTAAAACATTTTATTCATCTGGGTCCCATCTTTAAACCATTACTGCTGATCTGTCTTCAACATTATTGGAGACTTATCAGATAGTCTAAAAAATGAGCTCTGAATTTACACTGTTACAACCTTGCTAAAAACTCAGTGGACACAATGATATTGTGATATATGTTAACTATCTATTTTTCAGGATCTGGAATTCTTTTTCCTGCATTAAATTAAATAATCAGAAATCAGGGTTGTTCTAGTACCCAGTGGTTTGTTTTGCTTTGTTTTTTTAAAGATTTTACTGATTTACTTTTAGAGAGAGGGGAAGGGAGAGATAGAGAGAGAGAGAAACATTGTGATGTGTGAAAGAATCATTGACTAGTTGCCTCCCACGCCCCCCCCACTGGGGACCTGGACGGCAGCAACCCAGGCATGTGCCCTGACTGGGAATCCAACCGCAACCTTGCAGTTTCCAGGCCGGTGCTCAATCCATGAAGCCACACCAGCCAGGGCTATTCTTTCAATATATGATATCTGGTGCACATAATGCTTACCTTTCAAAACTAAAATTCCATTCCTCTGATTCAGCCAAAATTATTAGCTCCTCCATTCACTAGCTCTAGTAAATTTTTAGGGTTTTTTAGTATTGGCAAAGACAGAAATGACTTGCCAAAAGTTCATAGTCAATAAAGTAAATAAAAACTTTTTTTAAAACAGTAATGGATTTCCACATATTTTTTCCCAAAGAAGATTCTATCTGCTAGAACACTGACACATATTTTTATTTCCACAGAAAATGATGTAATTAGAAATTTCTTGAAATACAGATATTTCCTAGATGTTTCCAGAGTAAAAAAGTTACATTAATTAACATCAATACACCTAAATTCTGCCCTGGCTGGTGTGTAGATTGAGCACTGGCCTGCGAACTAAAGGGTCACTGGTCCGATTCCCAATCCGGGCACATGCCTGGGTTGTGGGCCAGGTCTCCAGTGTGGGGGGTGTGAGGTGCAACCACACAGTGATGTGTCTCTACCTCTCTTTCTCCCTCTCTTCCCTTCTGTCTAAAAATAAATAAAATCTTTTTAAAAATACACATAAATTCTTTCTTCTATTCTGCATTTAAGATGCCTACTTCAGAGATAAAATATATGAAGGAAACATAAAATACTCATTTATTTCGCTTGTAGAAATCTTCAAAATTCAGATTTACAGTGATGGGTAGAAAATATCCCAACATAACTATAAATCCTGAAAATAGTAAAAACTTTTTCTTTGTTAAAATGTTAAATGTATTGGACATTTTATGGAGTAAATTCCTCTTTAACAGTTAAAACCCTCTCTTTCAACATACATTTTATTTTTCGAAGGGCTGCTGAACAATTTTCCAAAGAGTAAAGATGAAAATCACTTGCTATGGAATTCCTTTTTTCACTAGGTCATTTTCAACAGAAACACACACACACTTTGAATACTTTGCCAAGACTGGGTGAATTTATTCTGGTGTTACTCCATCTTCTAATACTTCTTGTATATGTGCTGCTGAAGCGAGCACCATCTTCTAATACTTCTAATGCTACCCACGACATCTTCTCTGCTACCATATGTAATATAAAGTATGATTGTACCTTTCTCAAAAATCTAATCTAAAATTGCTCCTCAAAACTATAAAATTAGAATATTATAAAATATTCTAAAAGTTCAAAATATTTAGAAATATTTAGTCCTTAAGGAAAAATATTTGTAGGTCACCTTCCCAAGAACAATTTATTTTTAATTGTTGGTTAAGAATCCAATGATTCTGTGGGCTGGATATTTCTTCAAAAGGTCTACTGTACCTATAAAAAATTTCCAAAAATGACTTTCAAAACACTAGGCTCATAAAATTTTGCTTTACACATTTCCTAAAAGCATCCAAATCTGGATAATTTGGATGATTATAAGCTTTATGATAGTAAAAATGCCTAAAAACCATGCAATGATCTCTGATAAAATATATAATTACTTAAGTTTTTTTAAATAATAGGTTGATTTTTTAGACATAAAAAGGTCCTGTAATAAAATGGAAAATTAGCTTAAGCTTAACTTAAAATTAGTTAATTACAATGCACAATACAAATTAGTTTCTGCAAATCCTTACCATCTATTAGCATTCCTGAATCAAAATTACAGAAATGTTTAATTATGTATTCTAACGGAAGCAATGGGGAAGCTATTGGTATAGGGCAGGCAGTTAAAAATCCAAGATTGTTTTTGGGGATGATGAAGGTTAACACATGAAGAACAGACAGCTCTGCCCAAAAAGAGTAAGTAAATGCATCAGCACAATCTGTCCAGCCTCCATAGCACCTTTGCTATGACTTACCGCAGTAATATCCCATTTTTTAAATATGAGTATCTCCTAAAACAGTTTTTAAAATCTATGTACTCCTTTACACAATTTTCCAGTTGACAACTAAAATTTTTTAACATAATAGTTTCAACAGATTTAGTTCTGTCATACTGAAAATAGTGGTAATTTCTGAAAAATTACTTTTTAATGTATCCACTGGACTCTAAGTACCATAATGATTTGATGCCCATCATCATCTACTTTTTAAAAAGTCCATGAAAAGTGTTTTGAATTCTTAACAATTTTACATCATTCTTTTTTCCCCTTGGACTTCCATTTTCATTCTATTCTTACCCTAAAACAGTGGTTCTCCATGGGGTTGGAGACATGGAGTCCTGGGGAATGGTGGTGAAGATTTTGCCTATAAGAAGACATCTGGCAATGTCTGGAGATATTCTGATTGTCACAACCAGGGCAAAGGGTGCTAGTGGCATCCACTGAGTGTGGAAGATACTGCTAGACATCCTACAAAGCTTAGGACAGACAGCCCCTGACAGCAAAGTATTATCTGATCCAAACTGTCAATGGTGCTGAGGTTGAGAAGCCCAGTCCTAAAGTGATGTATTTCTATGCCTAGTCTTTAAAAAAAAATTATATTATACTTCTCTACAATAAAAATAACTATATAAATTTACAAAATATAAATTTCCTATAATATTAAAGTATAAGTGCTAAAAAGGTCTTTGGAATGACTTATGACAATAGTAATATAATTAATCTAAACAACATGATTAAACAATCATTATTAAATGTAAAAAATGAAAATATATTAAAATGTTCCTATTGAAATGGATGGAGCTTATTTTTTGTTGCTGTCAATTAGATATTATATTTGTGAATAAATGACTTGTTGCTAGAATGAGACAATTCATTCTAGCAACAGCTAGTGATAGTAATTATCAGCTCAGTGATAATTCTATTTTTACTTTTCTGGTAGCTAAGAAACCTTCTACACATAAAGAAGAGATGGAAGAGGAGTTCTGTTGGAACAGTGTCACTTACTCCATGAGCTCCTTCCACCTTCCATACATAAATTACACAGTTATCTATTACTAAAAAGTATTTCAGTGACCTAGACTTGAGAAGATTCTCTTTAAACATTGTAGAAGTCAAATAATTTAAAGCCAACTGACTTGCAAAAGATTTGTTATATAATCTTTTAAGACATTTACTTTCTTAATACCTACAGCTGCTGGGTGACCCAGAGATTTTTTAAAACCCCTGCTTTACTATAAATTGAGTTAGGCCTTGTTCTATGAAGAGTCTTTGGGAGCTCCTCTTCAATATGAGAATACTACTTCACTTAGCTGGTAGAGTTTGGGGAGTCACAGGAGGGATTTTGAAAATTAGTAAGTTACCCCAGAAAATCTGTTAACTGCGCCATAATCATGTCTGTTTATTAGTCCATCATGAAAATGCAGGCATGACTGTTACCAACAGCCTAAGGCTTGTCATACCTAAGCCTAAGCCTAGGTCTCTGAAACCGTATTATGGATTTTATGGAAATTAGATTCTCAATAAAGAAAATTATCCAAATATGACTAAAATTCTCTGCATTACTCCCTTACCTCTTAGATACTCTGTACTGTGCTGTGGTCAATTTTCCAGTCTCAGGGTCATGTACTGTAGCTCGGCTCAGCTACAAAAAAAAGAGAAAGGACAAGGACTTACTCACGTAGCAGGCAATTTTGGACTTTGTTTTGTTTTGCCAAGCCACAGGTGATTGGAAGGGTTCAGATTGGTCTGGATGGTAGGTAATGGTTTCAAATCAGCAAAAACATTTAGAAAGGTGGCAATTAGAAAAGCCACTTCCAAATCAAGAGAAAACGAGTTGACAAATTTTTGTTGTAGATTTATTGTCCTTTCACTTTTTTTAAAAAAAAATAATCATTTGAAGCTGTATGTAAATGATTTATAGCACTGGTTTCACAGGAACTTTCTCAGGTCTAGAAGTTTAATGTTCTTTAAAATATTATGACAAAGGAAAAATTAGTTGTCTTTTTAAATTCATTTCTGAAAACTCTCACCAAGACAAGACTGTTGTTAAGTCTCTCTAGCTAAGTTTAAGGCAACTATATTCATAAGTAATAGCAGTTGGAAGAGAGATCAGAAAAATAACTCTGTACTTTCCATTGCCAACTTTTAAGTCAACAAGTTTTTTTAAATATAAAAACTCCAACAGGAGGAATACAGATTACTCCAAAATGACAATGGTATTTTACAAGACCTTTGAACAAATGCCAACAAAATCATCATGAAGGATGATGAATTCACTGCAGCATTTATGAATGCGAGAGAGCTGCAAAAACAAAGACTACTCCCAGATTAACCCAGCCTGCTTCTTTTTTCTCCCCACCCCCTCCTTTGGCAAGAAAGGGAAACAGAAGAAAAACCTAACAAGCCTAGATATTTAATTCCTGACCTGAAGGGAGATGCAAAGCCTGTTAACTCCCTAAAAATAACAGACCAATTAAAGAATAAAAACACAACTTCTAGTTTAAGGGAAAGACCTGTGAAACACAAAGCCGTTTGGTTATCCATGCGTTATAAACAGGTGGTGACTTGAGCTGGAGACTGAAAATGACCTACTTCCTTCAAATGAGTAATTCCTGTAGGATGTACAAAACACTCATTAGAGATCAAAATATGCAGCATACATATCTCTTACCTTTTGCTAATTCTGTAATGTACCGTCTCCAAGTCTCCTGTTATTGGATTTGAAATGGTGGCTCGCCTCAGCTGTGAAGCCAACCATCAAGATACTTGCATTACAAAACAAAAAAATGAATCACATTTACCCAACCAGTCAGAATTCTGGGATTTTTACAATGGAAGCTGAAAAGAGAAAACTCCAGAGACTGGTTCCAGTCACGTTGTGTTAAGCTTTGAAAGCCAGTGATTTCTTTAGGTTTTATATTTTTTAAAAGTTATTTAAAATTTTTTTGTTTTGCATAAAGAGTACACAAAAATATTAAAAATTAAATTTCTTTCAATGGTTAGAGGATGTGACAGTGAAGAAAAATTTCTAAAATGTGAAGTTTAACTTAGTTATAGGAATGGCTATTTGCAATTAAAGATTCATTCCAAACTTTTGATTTTAATTTTTTTATGATGATACTGTTTTGCAAAAGTTAATGTTCAAAATTTGTTTCTAAGTCAATCCTGTCTTACTTCAAGATATGTGCTCATATATATTTTACATATACAGTATAATAATCTTGGACCAAGCACAATGTAAATGAAAAAACCTGAAAAATGTCAAAAACATTAAAAAAAGATGATGGGAAATACTAGTTTAAACTTTTTTTTAAATGGAGGATGATTCTGTAGTTAATAAAAAGAATATGAAATTTTTATTGCTACTGAATTTTTTGATCAAAATAATAGCATCCCTTTTGAAGACTTTGGCCTCCAAACCTTAACTCTTAATAGTCTACCAAGACACTTTGGTTTACTGACCACATCTAATGGATCAAAATAGAAATCCAGAAGAGAATGACAGAATATGATGTAATTATAAGTAAACATTTACAAGAATTCACTTGTAAAGAATCCATATTTACTAGACCATCTTTTCCATTTTTTAAAAATGTAATCGTTGGTAAAGAACAAAAAGTAGCAATTTGGAAAAGTAGTAGAACTTTACAAAATTCTAACTTTAAGGTCATTCTGCAGTACAGAAATCCAGATAATTCAACCTTTATGATATAACGAGGATCAGCAAATGACAGCCTGTGGGCCAAATTCAGCCTGCCACCTGCTTTTGGAAATAAAAGTTTTATTGGCATATAGCCACACTCATATTTTCTATGGCTGCTTCTGCACCACAACAGTAGAGTTGAATAGTTTTTGACAGGCTGTGTGGCTGCAAAGCCTAAAAAATATTTCCTATCTGGACCTATAAAGAAGGTATTTGCCAACTCCTGTGTTATAAAAGTGCAAAAGTATGCCCAGCATTTTACTTAACAATCTCTTTATGAAGGTGATGACAGTTTGTATTTTTCTATCAGGAAGACTAAACATGTTTTAATAACAAGCTAATGGTTATTAGACCATTATGATTTAATGGTTATTAAGAGCATAAAGGATAGTCTTTATCACATGGTCAAAAAAGAGAATTTCTACACTAAACACTAAGTTTATAAGATGGCATTTACGTTAAATTGTTTTTCGTTGTTTTTATCTGTATTGTCACCCAAGGACATGGTTACCGATTTTAGAGAGAGGGAAAAGGAGGGAAAAGATGGGAAGAGAAACATCAGCGTGAGAGAGAAGCAGTGCCTTTCATACATGTCCTGACCAGAGGGAGTGAACCCATAACCTAGGTATGTGGCCTGACTAGGAACCAAACTCATGACCTTCTGGTTTATGGGACAATGCTCCAACCAACTGAGCCACACTGGCCAGGGCTAAATTGTTTTTGTATTAAAATAAATGATCTATGTGTTGAAATCAGAAAACCGTGATGTTATTACTTAAAATTAGCAGGAGGATGCTTTTGCCAAATTATTACTTTCTAGTAATAATATGCCTGAAAGGGAATAAAAATACTTCAAGTATTCTTTCAGACAAAAATACAGAAGAATGAAAAAGGTGATTTTTGATTAGTCTCTGAAACCAAAGGACTCCAAAGCAGATAAAAAAAACTTTTTCAGGAAAATGCTGAAACAAATTTGTTAAATGTGAAATAAAAATCTCATCCATAATTTTCATGATTAAAAGCTCAAACCTATTTCCATGTATAATGTTATTAACCAATGCCACCCCAACAAATTTAATTTAAAAATCCATTTGCAAGATATGTTGTGTTGATAACAAACTGAGGAACAACTGGTACAAATACAGTTTCATGAACAACTGCACTGTGTTGTGGCAACAATATCTGTAACTATCTGTGGGTTATTGCCACATCAATTATCATTTGTGTAATCTTGCAAAGGAAAAACTGATACACAGGTACGGTAAATTAAGAAGAGAAAAAGAAAGTTATTTACCCTTGGTTTTGCTAGATCTTTGACAATTTCAATTTCTGCATCAGAAATAATATCATGGAAGCGAATAATACGAGGCTTGTCCCACTCATCCTCCTGTTTGGCTGGAGCCAGAATGAATTTAGGATTCCGGTTTCCATCATGGTAGCGGCAAAAGAGTTTTTTCTGTCTCCGAGGAGTCTAAACATAAAGTAAAAAAAATGATAAAGATGTTAGAGTAATGATATTTTTAATGCATAATCATGCTTGTGTATCCAGAGAGTTATCTGTGGAAGAAGACACAAAAGAAACAGCTCCTCTGCAAATATTTTGCCTCAAACAGGACCTTCAGGATTTAAAAAATTTTATTAATGATTAGTTTCTAGGAGAGAGACGGGAGGCCTTAAATAAGAAAAAAAGGAGGATTTCTCTTTTAACCCTCCTCTCATCAAAATAAAAGTTCTAGTGTTATAAATATGAAAGAAATGTTTATGGAAATATTAAATGAATGATCAGCATTGCTCCAAATGTCAGAGTAACTGGAAAACACCCCAAAAGAGAAAGTTTCTAAAAAGTAAAACAAACAAAACAAAACCTAACCAGGTTTTTCTAAATAACTCCCAGTTAAATGCTTGTGGCAAGAAAGAGGGGAGAGAAAGAGGGGAGAGAAAAAGGGAGAGAGAGGGGGAGGGAGGGGGAGAGAGAGAGAGAAAGAATGAAAATGGGTATCTCTGAACGACAGAAAATAAGTTATTAAAAAAAACAGGTGCTTTTATTTAGTGGGTATTTAAAAGAGTGGTCCAGAAAGCAAATATTACTTTTAATCACTTATGTATTATATTAACTAAATAAGTTATTGAATAACTGATTTTCTCTTGATTAAACAAGTATGTCATATATGAAGTAGAAATAATATTTTTTAATTTTTAATTTTTATTTATATTTAGAGAGAGACAGGAAGGGAAGGAGAGAAACATCAGTGTGTGGTTGTCTCTTGTGTGCTCCCAAGTGGGGACTTGGCCTGCAACACAGGCATGTGCCCTGACTGGGAAACAAACCAACGGCACTTTGGTTCACAGCCCGCACTCAATCCACTGAGCTACACCAGCCAGGGCAAAATAATATGTTTTTGTTTTAATTATTAGTTAACATACTAAAACGAATAATGATTCATGTTTATTGTCATGTACTTTATTTACCTAGAGTAAAATCCGAAGTTTTTTACCAAATAAATCTTTCTTATAATGATGAGATTAATTTATTCTGAGAAAAATGATGCTTTGATTTTGGGCAGGGTTGACATCTGTGTGTCACACCAACAAACTGGCAAATCGGCAGAGTCATGTTTTACACTTGGAGTTCTATTTTGCTAAGACTTATAAAAATGTTCACTACTAGAAATCTGAACACTTCATTAGATATTTGATGATATTATGAAACCACTGTGATTTTTAGGTGCGATAAGGGTGCTGTGGTTATTTTTTAACAGCCCTTACCTTCAAAAGGTACTAAAATATTCAGATGTGGAGCTTTAAATACTGTTTCACGAGTCTAACTGTTATCGTCCTTGTCTTTACTCATTAGCTACTCAAAGCAAAAGTAGGCATGTTCTTCCAGGACTCCATGAACTTCAAACACTCAAAGCTGTCAACACAGACATGACTACTTGTCTTCTGTCAGAGGTTATGCCGACAACAGCAAGTCATCAAGTACCAAAAGTTATCAATACCAAAATGTAAAGCCCAGCTTGAAGTTTGTTAGTTGTAGAGAAAAAGTTACACTATTTCAATGTTTACACTTAAAAGTACTTTCTTTAAAAATTCACTATTTCACTTCCTTCTATATATGCCCACATTCAAGTGAACACTAGTACCACATAATATTCCTCAAAAGAGAATTCCATTATCTGTTAACATTGAGAAGCAATGAAAACTCTATCCATAACACACATTACTGTAAAAAGGCTCTGAAAAGTCCTGAGGCTACACAAAAACCTATGTCTATTTCCCAGATTTGAATGCTTTTGTTTTTGGCCTATTATCTACTACCATCCTAAACAATGGTACTCAAAGTTGTAAATACATAAATATAGATACACAATTAAACAAAGGGATATTTATAGACACATTTTAGTATTTTAAAGAATAAATGTCTTTAATCTTTAAGTCTCTTGAAAGTCTTCCTGCATTTTTAATATTTCTGAACTAGACAAACATTTTACTAAACAATCCTGTCAAGGTTACTAGGAGCAAAACCACAAGAGATTATAAAGATTAATTCATTGTTTCATAGGATGAATTAGAATGGTGCATTGTCTCTACTTAAAACAGCTGAAATCTCTTTTGTATTAAGATATAAGAAAAAAATTGACCACTTCCTTTAAATTATCTGATCCTTTGCCTTTTAAACTATGAAAAGGGCAGTATTACCAAGAATACATGTAATGGTATATGATTCGCAAGCATTATTTTAAAACTATTTTACTAACAGTTAGAGCATATTAAGTGTGACTCACAAAAAAAAGGTGATGTGGCACACTATAAAACTTGATGCAGTAATTCTGCTTTTGATCGTATAGACAAATATAAAAATACTCAATTCTCTCTAGAACCATGTACACACACACGCACACATTCACACACAATTAGCTTTTCCACTTTACCATTTTGATACCCTCCCCACGGCACAGCATTTCGTACTTCTGTCTCTCTGGCAGGTAATCCACAGCAGCCCCTTTTTTCTTCAGTGTGGTTTTCTGATCAGATTGGTCATCTGAAGCAGACTTATTGGCATCTTTTTCTTTAGCCATTATATACTCAAAATATTTCAAGTTACCATTAGCTCTCTGATGTTCAGGATCTAGTAGAAGAGAAAGAGCATGTCCATGAGTAAGCTTACAGTTGTTCAAATACCAGAATACAATAATACAAGTAGAGGACCAAACGATTTACCTTCCAAACCAGGAAAAGACATTAGTAAAAATTATTATGCCCAAACAACAGGTGTAAACCAGTACTGCCCTAACTAAAGCAGGACATACAGTCACCCTATATAAAAAGGATTCTGGAGACAGAACCAGTCATTTATTTCAAAGTAGCAATTACTGCTTCTACTTTGAGGACTTACTAATTAGCCAAAGGAACTATGTATGATCAATCTGATGTCAAATGAAATTTTTAATATTTCTCATTCTTATTTTAAGCAGTGGAAAAGATTTTTCTAACACTAAAATGTAACTACCATGGGAAAGACAATGTATAAGTTCAAAAGCAACCTTTACCACAGATAAGTTATAAATGTAGCACACAGTCTACTTCTGAGGGCTGAGTGGATTTCAGCCCCCAAATTCTAAATGAGACAGAAAAGAAAAACTAAAGATATAATTTTCAAATAAGCCAGAATCCACTAATTGTCTCTAAATTGCTAGTCATAATTTTTGGCTATCTTATTTAGTAAGGGAAAAGAGAACTTACTCCACCCATTCAGGAAAAAACACACACATAAACACACAAAGAAAAAAGGCAGAACAGTATGTAGAAACTTCACTTGTGACATTAGTTGAAGTGTTTAGGAAATCTAGCCTTATTTGTAAATATTTCTTGTCTCTGAGAAACTGCTCACAATATACACTGTGATATACGATATGAGCCTAATTTTGTAAAAGAAAAGGAAAAGCGTGTGTGTGAATGGGGTATACACAACATGGAAACAAAAAACTCATAGGTATCTTTGGGTGATTGAATTATGGATGACCCTTTTCTATCTTTTTCTATTTTTAAAACTTTCATGCCATGAGTCAAATTTTTTAGGTCAAGAGGAAAAAAATCACTGAAAAATACTGAAAAAGGAATACTTGAATTAATAACTCAATTTATTCACTCAACTAATAAATCACCTAATTGTCAAAAGTTCACTTTGAGATGACCTATCCTTTTAAGCTGTTTCACTCTTCTGATATACACATATTTATCTACTCATAAAATAATTAATTTTTTAAGTTTTAAGGCTTCATTACATACCGAAGGCCACCTGAATTTATTAGCATACAACTCTGCTTCCAAAGATTCTGATTTAGTTGGTCTGGGTAGAAACCAAGGAACTTTAATTTCTAATAAGTATCCAAGTAATTCTGATGCACACAGTCCCTGAATGATACTTAGAAAAATGCTACATCTCTATTTGAAATACTAGTGGTAAAATCCTCTTAAGAAATCACATTTTTCTAACATTTGAATATGACAAATATATTTTTAATGTATTTATTTCAAATCACTCTTTTTGAGTATGAAACACAAATAACTGAAAACATCCTTTAAAGGAAACTGGTTAATATTTATTAACATGGCAACATGATAAATAAACATTTTTGACTGAGTCAGCTAGGTAAGGTTCAGTTTTGATAGTCCTGAAGAGCACACAGCAGAGAAACACAGTCACTGCTGCAGTACCATTAGGTGAGAAAAAGCAGTTGCCATTTATTTAGAGGATAATCAAAAAGAGAATAAAATATGTTTGGTAAATGAGGCACTTGAATTCTAACAAATAAAAGCAGCAAAGCTATATGATGAAATATATATTCAAATATATCTGTATTATATATACCCTTGTATTAGACCAAGTTAACATACCTAGTTCAAGAAGCTTCTTTGTGAGCAAAAGTGCCTTATCGAGGTCTCCCTGCTGGTACACCGCATAGCTCAAATAATCTAGAACAGAGACTTTATCAATGGTAGAAACCTCGCCTTCCTCCAGCTGCTTTAGTGCTTGCTCCATCCACAGTTCTGTATGGTAATAATCTGCTTCTGTGTAGGCCACTTTACCCAACTCAAAACAGTCCTCCACAGTTAAAAAAGATTTGTGCTTTACTCCTGTGGAAAGAAAACACAGGACTTTAGGATTCTTAATACTACTCCACATTCATTTAGGACAGCAATTTTTGACCTTTGTCAGCTCATGGCACACACAAACCAATTACTAAAACTCTGCAGCACACCAAAAACATATTTTTTACCAATGTGACAGAAAGTAGATATAATTTTGATTCATTCACACTGGATAGCTACTGTTGTATATCTAAGGGAAAAGAGGTCAGTGCCCCTGACTAAACAGTCAGGTATTGCATGATTTAAAATTTCTTGTAGCACATCAGTTGGAAAATTGCTGATTTAGGATTATATAGATTTCATTTGAACTTCATGACAATACTCTGAGGTAGGAAAAGCAGGAATTATGTTAAATCTATAGACAGAAATTTACAAGATAATAAAACATGGCAAGAATCACACAGCTAATAGGGCACATGGGACCTAGCTATCAGGATGTCAATTATCTTTCACTGCCTAGTTTACTTCACTTAGCACTCACCTATAAGTGGAACCTAATTAACAAAACAAACTAGCAAGCAAAATATGGCCAGAGGCATTGAAATTGACAACAAAGTGACAGTAACCAGAGGGAAGGGGAGGGGAAAATAACATGGGGAAAAAAGGGAAAGGGACATAAATGAACATGTATGAGGGACCCATGGACGTAGCCAATGGGGGGTAGGATTGAGGGTGGGAGGTGGGTGTGGGTAGGACAGGGGAAAATAGTGGTGGGAAAATGGAGACAACTGTATTTGAAGATTAATTAAGAAATTTTTTTAAAAAGGTGTTAATTATCAGCCATCAAACCGAAATAAAATATCAATAAAGTTGAAGCATGCAATTTTTCTAACACAGCAAGAATCACCTTATCATACTTATCTTTCTCCGAATCAATAATCTGGGTAAGAGATGAATGGACAAAAGAGAAGCAAACCTGTCAACTGGACCCTCCCCTGCTCTTTCTCCTTTCCTTTCCAATAGTTTTAGTGATATGTAATTTACATACCATGAAGTTCACCCATTTAAAAAATATAACGGCTTTTGGTATATTCACAGAATTGTGTGACCATTACCAGTCTGATTTTAGAACATTTTTATCACCCAAAGAGGAAAGCCTATAACCATTAGCAGTCACTCCCTATTTTCTCCCCCTGCCTATCCCAGGCCCAGAGAACCACGAATCTATTTTGTGTATCTATAGATTTGCCTATTCTAGTTATTTCATATAGGTGATATCATGAAATATATGGCCTTTTGTGATGGCCCTTTTCACTCAGCATAATGTTTTCAAGGTTCATCTATATTTTCCAAGGTTTTCACATACTTTTTATTGCCAAATAATAGTCCACTGTATGGACAGACTACATTTTGTTTATCAGTTGACGGACATTGAGTTGTTTCCACTTTTGGCCTTTATGAGTAATGGTACTGTGAAGATTGGTGTACAAGTTTTTGTGCAGACAAATGTTTTAATCACTCTTGAGTAAATATATAGCAGTAGAATTGCTAGTCAGAGAGTAACTCTCTGTTTAATACTTTCAGGAACTGCCAAACTCTTTTCCAAAGTGGCTACCCACCATTTTTCAATCCCAACAGCAGCTGTATGAGGGCTCCAATTTCTCCATATCTTGTTATTGTTCATCTTTTTTATTATAGCCATTCTGGGGAGTATGAAGTGGTATTTCATTGTGGTTTTGATTTGCACTTTCCTAATGATGACGCTGAGCATCTTTTCACATACTTATTGTCCATCTGCACATCATCTCTAAAAAAAATCTATGTCAAGCTTTTGCCCATTTAAAAATTTGGTTGTCCAAGCATTTTCTCTGACCACAAGGGACTGAAATTGGAAACCAACCCCAAAGGAAAAAACCCAAAGCACCCAAAATCATGGAGACTGAATGGTATGCTATTAAATAATGAATGGGTCAAGAATGAAATTAGGGAAGAAATCAAACAGTTTCTGGAAACAAATGAAAACTAACTCTCAACAACCCAAAACTTATGGGACACAGCGAAGGCAGTCCTGAGAGGGAAGTTTATAGCAATACAGGCCTACGTAAAGAAGATAGAAACATTTCAAACAAACAACCTAACCCTACGCCTGCAAGAACTCGAGGAACAACAACAAAGACAGCCCAGAGCAACCAGAAAGAAGGAAATAACCAAGATTAGAGCAGAACTTAATGACATAGAGACTAAAAGCACAATTCTAAGGATCAACGAATCCAGGACTTGGTTTTTTGAAAAGATAAACAAAATAGACAAGCCTTTAAGTAGGCTCATCAAGAAAAGGAGAGGAGGACTCAAATAAACACAATCAGAAATGAAGGAGGAGAGATTACAACTGATACCACAGAAATAGAAGGGATTATTAGAAATTACTATGAAGAACTGTATGCCAAGAAATTTGAAAACCTAGGGGAAATGGACACATTTCTAGAAAAATATAATCTTCCAAAACTTAATGAAAAAGAAACAGAAAATCTGAACACACCAATAACAGCAAAAGAAATTGAAGCAGTAATCAAAAAACTCCCATCACACAAAAGCCCTGGACCAGATGGTTTCACAGGAAAATTCTACAAAGCATTTAAGGAAGAGCTAACCCCTAATCTTCACGGACTATTCCAAAAAATCCAGAAGGATGGAAAACTCCCAAACTCGTTTTATGAAGCCAGCATCATCCTAATTCCAAAACCAGATAGAGACACGACAAAGAAAGAGAACTTCAGGCCAATATCACTGATGAATATAGATGCTAAAATCCTCAATAAAATATTGGCAAATCGCATCCAACAATATATCAAAAAGATCATACACCATGATCAAGTGGGATTCATCCCAGGGATGCAAGGATGGTTCAATATTCGCAAATCAGTAAATGTAATATATCACATAAACAAAAGCAAAGACAAAAACCACATGATCATATCAATAGACGTGGAAAAAACTTTTGATAAGGTACAACACCCATTTATGATAAAAACACTCAGCAAAGTGGGAATAGAGGGAGCATTCTTCAATATAATAAAGGCCATATATGAGAGACCTACAGCCAACATCATACTCAATGGGCAAAAATTAAAAGCTTTTCCACTAAGATCAGGAACAAGACAAGGTTGTCCACTTTCACCACTTCTATTCAATATAGTTTTGGAAGTTTTGGCCACAGCGATCAGACGAGAAAAGGAATAAAAGGCATCCAAATAGGAAAGGAGGAAACAAAACTGCCACTGTTTTCAGATGACATGATAGCGTACATGGAAAATCCTATAGACTCTACCCAAAAACTGCTCGAACTAATAAATGAATTTGGCAAAACAGCAGGATACAAAGTCAATATCCAGAAATCAAAGGCATTTTTGTATACTAACAATGAATCAGCAGAAGCAGAAATCAAGAAAAAAAATCCCATTCGATATAGCAAAAAGAAAAATAAAATATCCGGGAATAAACCTAACCAAGGAGGTAAAAGACCTGTATGCAGAAAACTACACAGCACTGAAGAAAGAAATCAGGGAAGACACAAACAAATGGAAACATATACCATGTTCATGGATTGGAAGAATTAACATCATCAAAATGTCCATACTACCCAAAGCAATATACAGATTCAATGCAATACCTATTAAAGTACCAATGGCATATTTCACAGACATAGAACAAACACTTCAAAAATTTATATGGAACCATAAATGAGCCCGAATAGCAGCTGCTATTTTGAGAAAGAAGAACAAAGTAGGAGGGATCACAATACCTGATATCAAACTGTATTACAGGGCCACTGTAATCAAAACAGCTTGGTACTGGCATAAAAACAGACACATAGACCAATGGAACAGAACAGAGAGCCCAGAAATCAACCCAACTCTCTACAGTCAATTAATATTTGACAAAGGGGGCAATAACATAAAATGGAGTAAAGATAGCCTCTTCAACAAATGGTGCTGGGAAAACTGGACAGCTACGTGCAATAAAATGAAACTTGAGCACAAACTTACGCCATACACCAAAATAAATTCAAGGTGGATAAAAGACTTAAATGTAAGCCGTGACACTATTAAAGTTCTAGAGGAAAACATCAGCAAGAAAATCTCAGATATTTCACGCAGCAACATTTTTACAGATATGTCCCCTAGAGCAAGGAATATAAAGGAAAGAATAAACAAATGGGATCTCATTAAAATAAAAAGCTTCTGCATGGCTAAAGAAAACAGTATTAAATTAAAAAGACAACCAACTGTATGGGAAAATATATTTGCCAATGATACCTCAGACAAAGGTTTAATCTCCAAAATATACAAAGAACTTACACGACTCCACTCTAAGAAGACATCTAACCCAACTAAAAAATGGGAAAAGGACTTGAACAGGCACTTCTCCAAGGAGGACATACAGAATATCCAGAGACACATGAAGAGATGCTCAATATCGTTAGCTATCAGAGAGATGCAAATTAAAACCACAATGAGATACCACTTTACACCCGTCAGGATGGCTATCATAAATAAAGCAACAAACGACAAATGTTGGAGAGGTTGTGGAGAAAAGGGGTCCTTAGTTCACTGTTGGTGGGAATGCAGACTGGTACAACCATTATGGAAAACAGTATGGAATTTTCTCAGAAAAATAAAAATTGACCTGCCTTTTGACCCAGCAATTCCACTGCTAGGATTATATCCCAAGAATCCTAAAACATCAATTTCAAAGAACCTATGCACCACAATGTTCATAGCAGCACAATTTACAATAGCCAAGATACTGGTATTATCAGAGTAAGAATACAAAATAACCTAGGTGCCCGACAGTAAATGAGTGGATCAAAAAATTGTGGTACATATACACAATGGAATTCTATGCAGCAGAGAGAAAGAAGGAGCTCCTACCCTTTGTAACAACATGGATGGAACTGGAAAGCATTATGCTGAGTGAAATAGGCCAGGTGATGAAAGACAAATACCATATGATCTCACCTTTAACAGGAAGCTAAACAATAAAAC